AATAGAACAAAGAATCCTAAAATTCATATGGGGCCACAGAAGACCCCGAATTGCTAAAGCAATCATGAGAAAAAAGAACAAAGCTGGAGGCATCACAATCCCTGACTTCAAAACATACTACAAAGCTACAGTAATCCAAACAGCATGGTACTGGTACAAAAACAGGTGCACAGATCAATGGAACAGAATTGAAAGCACACAAATAAAACCACACATCTATGCACAGCTAATCTTCGACAAAGGAGCTGAGGGCATACAATGGAGAAAAGAAAGTCTCTTCAACAAATGGTGCTGGGAAAACTGGAAAGCCACATGTAAAGGAATGAAAATTGACCATTCTTTTTCACCATTCACCAAAAAAACTCAAAATGCATCAAAGACCTAAAGCTGAGACCTGAAACCATAAGGCTTCTAGAAGAAAATGTAGGCAGTACACTCATTGACATCAGTATTAAAAGGATCTTTTCGGACACCGTGTCTTCTTAGACAAGGGAAACAGCAGAAAGAATAAACAAATGGGACTTCATCAGACTAAAGGGCTTCTTCAAGGCAAAGGAAAACAGGATTGAAACAAAAAAACCCCACGAACTGTCAACAATCTTCCTCTGTTTTGTATGTGAGCTGCCACCACAGCATGGTCACTGACAGACTGGTGGTGTAGGTCAATACCAGGAACCCAACCCAGGCTGCCGAAACAGAACACGCCAAACTCAGTCATCAGGCCGCTGGAGGCTGGCCCCACTTTCAACTTTGAGTTCCTCCCCTTCAGCTGAGCTTTGTATTTTCAGAACAATCATATTAGCAGCGTGAACTCTTACATTCCTGGTAAAAGTTAAATTGGCACAAGCACTTTGGAAATCAAATTAACATTATCTAGTGTGGTTAAAGTACACACCCCATATAATCCAGCAATTCTACTAGTCATCATACACTCTGGGGAATTGCTTGTCTATGTGCCCCAGGAGACACGTTCACTAATGTTTACAGCAAAAACTGGAATAACCCAATATGCATCAAAGGAAAATAATAAAATTGTGGTATAATCATAAAATGTAAAACTTCAGCAGTAAAAATAGATGAATGACAGCCTCACAAATGAGGGATAACTCTCCTACGTAAATCTGAGTCATGAAGAGTCTATGCAGTATGAGTTCACTATACAGGCAGTTCAAAACCAGGCAAAACTAATACTATTTGGTTTGGGGATATATACACTAATTGTAAAATCTTTAGAGAAACTCAAGGGAATAGTAAAGACGAGACTCAGGGTGGAGGTTACATCTGGAGGATGGAATTGGGGAGGTGGCCACAGTGCCTTCACAGGTTCTGTTTCTTACAGCACTGATGGTGCCAAGGTATTTGTCTGGTCATAACTCTGTAAACTGACATTTTTCAAACTGTAGGTGGTGAACCATTTCTGATTAATTTTTTTAAAATGAAAGAGAAAAGAAAATACCGAAATTCATTGAAAGGATCCTTAGCAATTACACCCACATTGGAAAAAAGCCACAGCCAATGTTATGAGTCATGTAGAGAGAGAGGGCCAGGATGCCATAAAAAATTAGCACTGGCTAGAAATAGGCCATTTGATCTTTTGCTCACTGGCATCTCTGTAGATTTTCTGGTCTACTATGTTCAATCTGACATCAATGTAATTCTATCTTGAGAAGGATTTGATGTGTTACTTACATTTAATCTCACATAGAACTAAATTACCTACTTTTACAGAAGTGGAAAAGCACATTGCTGATCAATATAAACTAAACTGGAAACCCTTGTAAAGGGATAACCAACCAGTGATAGAACAGAAAGTGTGAGTGGAAAACACATTGAGCTGCTTTTAAAAAACCTTAGAGGCACATATGAACGGTGGTTTCTAGAATCACATTGGTGTCCAAGTCACTCGTACCAAATCTCATTCCAAAACACAGGGAAAGACGTTAAATTTCTTATAGGATGCCAAGTGAACAGCCAGTGTTTAGAAAACCTTGTTCATAGATTGGAGTCAACCATTCCTGCCTACTGCATCCCACCAATACTGTCATCACGATGCTAAGCTAGGTGTACAGCCTGAGGTATGAGATTCACATTTTTCTAACTGAAAAGCAATTTCATTAGGCAACTATATTTGAATATCTTCTTGAGTAAGAAAATCGGTATTTTAACCAATATTTTTGACGTTAAACTAAATTTGAAACTTCTAAAGGAAAACAGAGTTATTATTTCAAAGGTATTACTATTACAGCACTCACTTCTTAGAAGTACGGTATTTGATCTACCTACTACATGTTCTCAACGTTGTTGCAGCTTATTGAAGGGAACACTATTATTAAAGGCATTAGCAAGAAAAACTTACAAATATTGTTGTATCTCCTTTCTCTCTGTCAAACTTTTAATCATTATTTTCCAAAAGAGAAATATAAAGCACTAAAAAAAAAAGCAGATAAAACAAGCATTGATTTACAAAATTCTGAAACAATATCTAATTTAAATTTTGGTGTTACCATGTATGTAAATTCTTTGATACTCCTCCTTTCTAGAGGTGGAGCTTAATTCCCTCCTTTTGAGTGTGGGCTGCACTTAATGACTCATTGCTAATTGATAGAATAAGGCTGATAGAATGAGGTGTGACTCTGGGTCTAGGACATAAAATACATGGTAGCTTCCATCTTGGTTGCTCTCTCTCTTGGATCACTTGCTTTGAGAGAAGCAAGCTACCTAGTCATTAGCCAGCTTGTGGAAAAGTCCACATGGCTAGGAATTGAGGCCTCCGGGAACCATCCAACAAGGAACTAAGGCCTCTTCCAACAGCCATATGAATGAGCCATGTTTCATGGGAATGTCCCAGCCCCAGTCAAGCCATCCTCTGATGCAGCCCTGGCTGACAACTGGACTGCAACCTTGAGACAGGCCCTGAGCCAGAAGCACCCAGGTAAACCTCTCCTGGATTGCTGACCCTGGGAAATTGTGGGAGATAATACCTGTTTGTTGTTTTGAGCTGCTAAATTTTGGGTAATTTCTTATCCTGCAGTACATAACTCATACTCAGTCCAAAGAGAGAGTGAATTATTGCACTTTAACTTTTGCTTGCTGTAAATTAATCACACTAGTTCCCCCTTATCTGCACTTTTGCTTTCCACGGTTTCAGTTACCTGCTGTCAACTGTGGTCTGACAATATTAAATGGAAAATTCCAGAAATAAACAGTTCATAAATTTTAAATTGCATGCCATTTTGAGTAGCTTGATGAAATCTTGCAGCATCCTGCTCGGTCCTGCCTGGGATGTGAATCATCCCTTTGTCCAGTGTATCCACAATGTGTATGCTATCCGCCCATTAGTCACTTAGTAGCCGTCTCAGTTATCAGATCAACTGTCCTGGTATCACAGTGCCTGTGTTCAAGTAAACCTTATTTTACTTCATAACGGGCCCAAAGTACAAAAGTATGCGTAGGAGAAAACACAGTATATAGGGTTTGATACTATCCCCGGTTTCAGGCATCCACTGGGGGTCTTGGAAGGTATCCTTGTGGATAAGCGGGACGACTGTATTAAATATTAAACCCATCATTTGGTTTTAAGATTTAAGACAAATTTCTCTGGTTAATAAACAGGATGCATTTTATTACCATTCACAACAATCTATTTATTTGAACTTCATTTCCAACCATGACCCAATGAAACACAAAGGAAGAACCAGGCTGTGCTCGGCTGATTCTATGATGGTCCACAACAACCTCCTTCTGGTTACTCTCCTTCCCCGCAGTTATTCAACCAAACACTAACATAGATGCTGCTGAGAAGGGATTTTGCACATGTAACTAAGATCTCAAATCAGTTGATGGTAAGACAAGGGGATTGTCCTGGGTGGGACTGTCCTCATCAGGTGAGCCCTTAAAACCACTGGGTTCTTCCTGAGCAAAGAGATTCAAAGGTGGGAAAGATTCAACGTGAGGGATTTTCTCCATTGTGGGCTTTGAAAATGGAGGCCACCTGGCAAAGAATGCTGGTGACCAGTAGGTGCTGGGAGCAGCCCTGCTCTGGCTCCTCGCTGACAGTTGTCAAGGAAAGAGGGTCCTCAGGCCTACAACTGGAAAAAAGTGAATTCCGCTAACAACCTCCATATAAGCTTAGAGGAAGATCCTGAGCTCAAGATGAGAACACAGCTTTGTGAAACCCTGAACAGAGAGCCCACATATACCACGCACGGATTTCTGACTAAGGAAATGTAAGCAAATAAGTGGGTGTTGTTTTGAACCACTGAGTCATCGTTTTGTTACACAGTAACAGAAACTAATAGGCAAGCTCAATGTGCAACAGATAAGCATATAGCATTTTTTCCAGTGGAATGAATTTATGAACTGATAAGCATGATAGTCACATAAAATAAAATCTTTCCAAATTTTTTTCCGTTTTTCATTTTATGATTTTCAATAACATAACTAAATTTTACTACAATCACATTTCATTCATTTATTCAACGACAGCTAATTTAATCCCTACTATGTACAAGCATGGCTTTATCTCCTGGCGATACAGCTTTGACCTAAACAGCCCAAAGCCCCTGTGCTCGTGTGTGTTACATTCTAGAGGCTTCCCAAGAGTGAGACGGAGCCAGTGGAGTGTTTTAGTGGAGAAATGACACATCCTGACTCACATTAGCAGGATCCCTGACCCCTGTGGGGAAGATAGTCCATGGGTGGCAGGTGAGTGGGTGGCACTCGAGTCCATTTCAGGGAGAGCGATTCCAGTAAGAGGAGGAAGAGGGCCTGAGCCCAGCCTGGGGGTCTCTCCCTGGTTTCCTCAGACAGCCCCCGGGCCAGGACTCAGGGAGACGGTGTGACAAAGAGCTCTCGGTGCAGGGGGAGAGGGGTCAGGGCAAGTGGTTCTCAGGGTCCCAGGCCCCGAGGGCAGAGTCTGGGGCGGTTTCTGCAGCTCAGTGTTGGGGAGTCCCCGTCTTCCTGAGACTCACTTGTCCCTCTCACAACCTTTGTCAGCTCCTCCTGCCTGAAGACTCATGACGGGGCCCCAGTTCTCACTCCCATTGAGTGTCCGGTTTCTAAGGAAGCCCATCAGCGTGTCTGCCGTTCCTGGTTATAAAGTCTCCACCACCCTCCGGGGCTCAAATTCTCCTCAGACCCTAAGAATAAGGGTCATGGCGCCTGGAATCTTCCTGCTGCTGCTCTCGGGGACCCTGACCCCGACAGAGACCTGGACTGGTGTGTGAGGGGTCGGGAGGAAACGGCCTCTGCGGGGGGCGGAGCAAGGCTACGGCGCGGGTGGGGCGCAGGACCCCCGGGGAAGGCGCCTCTCCGAGGACCCAGCCCAGACACGCCCACCCCGCCCCTCCTCGGCCCCGCCGCGTCCTGACCCAGGTCCTTCCATCCCCAGTCTCCCGCCCTCTCCTCTTACCCACTGGGGTCTCCCACGCTTCTCTGGCCACCACCTCTATTCCGTCTCCCGAGCCCCTACCCTCGCCCCCTCCCGGCCCCATCACCCTGGGACCCGGGGACCCGCGCCTGGAGCAAGGTCGGGCGGGGTCTCAGCCCCTCCCCGCCCTCAGGCTCCCACTCCATGAGGTATTTCAGCACCGCCGTGTCCCGGCCCGGCCGCGGGGAGTCCTGGTACCTCGAAGTCGGCTACGTGGACGACACGCAGTTCCTGCGATTCGACAGCGACGCCGCGACTCCGAGGATGGAGCCGCGGGCGCCGTGGATGAAGCACGTGGGGCCGGAGTATTGGGAGCGGGAGACGCGGTGCGCCAAGGGCAACGCACAAACTTCTCCAGTGAACCTGAACACCCTGCGCGGCCGGTGAGCGACTCGGACCCAGGTCGCGAGCCCCCATCCCCACGGACGGGTCGGGGTCTCCCCGAGTCTCCGGGTCCGAGATTTACCCCGAGGCTGCGGGACCCACCCGGACCCCCGACCCGGGAAGAGCCGGCAGGGACTTTTCCGCGGTTTAATTTTCAGTTTAGGGTTAATCGCTGCAGGGGGGTGGGGCGGCAGCGAGGCCGAGTGGTCCGGGCTGACCTCGGGGCGGGGTCAGGGTCTCACACCTTCCAGCACCAGTATGGCTGCGACGTGGGGCCTGACGGGCGCCTCCTCCGCGGGTACAGACAGTTCGCTTACGATGGCGCCGATTACATCGCCCTGAACTAGGACCTGCGCTCCTGGACCACGGCGGCTCAGGTCACCCGGCGCAAGTGGGAGGCGGCCGGTGAGGTGGAGCGCTGGAGGAACTACCTGGAGGGGGAGTGCATGCAGTGGCTCCTCAGATACCTGGAGATCGGGAAGGAGACGCTGCAGCGCGCCGGTGCAAGGGGCTGCGGGGCCTCCTGATCTCCCCTTGGGCTGAGCCTGCCATCCGACAGAGAGAGGCGGGAAATGGGATCCACACCTGAATGTGCCCAGCCCATGGGTCAGGAGACTGACTCCACCAGGGTTTTCAGATCTAGTGCCAAAGAGTGACTCCCCAGAGGAGTCTTGCCTTTCTCTCTGGGACTTTAAGGGGTCCAGGCTGTCTGGGGATGGAGGAGGAAGCTATCTCTGAAATAACTGACAAGCGGTTCCCTTTGACTCTGGGAGCAGCTCTGGGACTTTCTCTCTCAGGCCTTGTTCTACGAGCCACAGCCTAACTGTGATTGAGGTCTGACCAGGTTTTCTGAGTCATTTTGCCTCCACCCAGCTCAGGACCAGAAATCCCTTTACTGCTCTTCAGAGACCTGCCTCCTACCCGGGGCTGACTCACTCTAACTCCAGAAATTTCCAAGGACTGGAGCTTATTTCAGGTTCCTGTGTCAAGGCTGGTGTCTGGGTTTTGTGCTCCCTTCCCTCACTCCAGCTGTCCTGTCCATTTTCAGGATGCTCATATGAGTGCTGCTTCAGTGCCCCAAACGGATGCAAAGTTCCTGAATTTTCTGATCCTTCCCTTCAGACCCCCCAAAGACACATGTGACCCACCACCCCATCTCTGACCATGAGGTCACCCTGAGGTGCTGGGCCCTGGGCTTCTACCCTGCGGAGATCACCCTGACCTGGCAGCGTGATGGGGAGGACCTGACCCAGGACACAGAGCTTGTGGAGACCAGGCCTGCAGGGGACGGGACCTTCCAGAAGTGGGCGGCTGTGGTGGTGCCTTCTGGAGAGGAGCAGAGATACACGTGCCATGTGCAGCACGAGGGGCTGCCTGAGCCCATCACCCTGAGATGGGGTAAGGAGGGAGCTGTGGGCTCAGAGCCTCTTCTCAGGGAAATCAGGAGCCCTTCTGGAGACCTTCAGGAGGGTCAGGGCCCTCACCTTCCCTTCCCTTCCCAGAGCCGCCTCCTGAGTCCACCATCCTCACTGTGGGCATCATTGTTGGCCTGCTTCTCCTTGGAGCTGTGGTGGCTGGTGTTGTGATGTGGAGGAAGAAGCACTCAGGTGGGGAAGGAGTATGGTCTGAGATATCTTGTCCCACTGGGGTGTTTCAAGCCCAGGTAGAAGTTTGTCCTGCCTGGTCAATGGGAAGTCCCATCCACAGGCACATGTGTTTTCCTAGTCTGGGACCCTGTTTGCTAACACTTACTCTTTAGTAAAGCACTTGTGAGAATGAAGGATAAATTTATCACCTTGATGAGTCTGGTGATAGGGACCTGATTCCCAACAGTCACAGGACAGAGGAGATGATGAGGGGAAGTCACAATTCAGAGGTCACGAGGGTGGTTGGTCCAGTCTCCACACATGTGCTGTCGTCATGTTTCCTGATCCTGCCCTGGGTCTGTAATCACAGTTCTGGAAACTTCTCTGGGCTCCAGGACTAGGGGCTTCCTTTAGGATCTCATGGCCCTCCATCCTCCCTGGTTTCTCACAGGATGTTTTCTTCCCTTAGGTGAGAAAGGAAGGAGCTATGCTCAGGCTGCAAGTAAGGATGGAGTGAGTGTGTTGCCTGAGACCCTTGTGATAGTATAGATGGGAGCCCATGGGGAGTGCACCCACCCCATAGTACCACATAGTTCCTCTATTAGTCTCAAATCCTGTGGGCTCTGACCACGTCCTGTTTTGGTCTACTCCAGGCAGTGACAGTGCCCAGGGCTCTGATGTGTCTCTCAAGGCAGGTGACACTCTGGAGGCCTGAAGTGGGGAGATGTTGGGGTGGAGGGGCCTGGACTAGGTTATGGATACTCTTTGATTGGGACATTCTGAGCATGTGGTGGGCTGTTCAGAATGTCACTAATTATAGCGAGTGCCTTAAATTATTCATAATTGTTTTCTGCTATAGCGTGAAACAGCTGTCTCATGGGGGACAGTGTCATGCAAGATTTGTTCCTGTCCCGCCCCCATTATGACTTCAGGAATCTCTGACTTCTCTTTCTGCAAAGGGCATCTGAGTGTGTCTGTGTTCCTCTTGGCATAATGTGAGGGGGTGGGGAGACTAGTCTCCCCCGTGATCCCCTCCCACACTGCCCTGTGTTCTGTCCCCTGATTGATTTTCCTGTTCCAGCAGAGGTGGGGCTGGTTCCATCCCTGTCTTAACTTCATGTTGCCCTGACTTGCAGCTTCTTCCTTCCTTATTGAGAATAAACATCTGCATATGAACTTGTTTTTTCAGATTCTTGCCTTGAGGGATTGATGGGTTAATTAAAGGAGAAGATTCCTAAAATTTGAGAGGGGAAATAAATGGAGGCTCTGAGAACCTTCCAGAATCTGCCTGTTCGCTGTGCTGAGTCTGTTGCAGGTGGGGACAGGAGAAGACTATGAGGAGCTGAGCGTAAGACTGAGGCCTGTGCCCAGTCGATGTTCAGTGCATTGAGGCCTTTGATGTGGTGACTCCTTGGTTGGGACATCTTCTCTGCTTCTTTGTCCTTGTCCTTTCAGGAGAACCTTGTCCCACCAGGACCTATGATCACAGGGATTTGGACATCACCTGGGCCTTGTGTCTCCAGGACGGCGTGCAGGGGGCGCTTCATGTAGCCGGGTCAGCCTGGGCTCAGGCCTGGGTCTGGCCCTCAGCCCCCATTTGGGTGTGTATTTGTTGTTCCTTTTTTCTGTAGCGGATTGTGCCTGTTCTTGGTCTTCTGTATAAGTACCGGTCATTCTCCTCTGGGTGTCCCCCACCTCTGACAGTAGCAGGAGTCATTTGGTCTGTCACTGTTCCCACAAGGCCCGCCGGCCCTGCACACAGGCATCTGTGCTGTCCAGAGATGAATTTTCAAACTCGTCCAGCTCTGTCCTTCTTCTAGGGCTTGAGTGCCATTTCCACCTTCCCCAGCCTTCTCAAGGGAGCCAGATTCTGGAATTAGAGAGGCGCGACCCTGTCATTTCTCATCCTAGGCAAGTTCTTGTTGGAATTCTACTCTGTGGCCTGCTCTCCCTCCCCGCCCTTAGCGCTGGTTCCCCCAGTGCTGGCTCCAGTATGAACTCACGATGTATGAAGCAGAGTCTAGGTTCATACTTGGTTGTAAAATAGGACTCAAGTGAAGGATCATTGTTTTCTGAAGAGAGAAATGTCATTGTGTGCTGGGGTGTGCAGGAGGGTTGTTGTGGGAGGGAGAGATGGAGGGAGGAGCGGGGAGAGCAGCACTGGTGAGAAAAGTACAGGTGGCGTTGATGTCAGGATGAGTGGACATTGTGCTGTAGCTGCCACAAAACAACATTTGGCCTCAGGTTACATTATTAAAGATGCTGTGTCTAGAAAAGGGAGATGCTGTTTTCTGAACAGTCATTCAACTGATACTGGTTGTGTGCTGGTTGTGTAATATACTATTTTTGTATCTGGGTAACATCACTGAAGTAAAAACAGAAACGTTGCTGGCCTTGTGGAGCATATGTTGTAGTGGGAAGAGACATGCTATGTACTATGAGCATAGTGAATAAGGACAGTGTTTATGATAGAAGGTGGTAAGTGCTACGGAAAAATTGCAGTGGGGAAGGTGATCCAGGGGGTGCGGGTGGGGCCAGGGAAGATGGCTGTTTTAATTTGGGTGGTTGATGGGGGCCTCCCTGGGAAGGTGCCTCTGAGGAAAGATGTGGAGGACATGAGGAATTATCCACGAGGATGTCTGGGGAAGTTCTTTCAGGGCAGAGGAACCTCCTGCAAATGAACTAGGGCAGGAGTGTGTCTCTTTTTTCTGGGAAGGGCAAGGTGACTGGTGTGGCTGGAGCAGAGAGTAATCAAGATGAGATAGAGGTGTGGCCAGACCAGGTAGGCCTGGAGGATGTTAGAAGGGTTTTGGCCTTTGCTCTGAGTGAGTTGGGGAGTTAGAAGACAGTTTAGAGCAGGAGAGGGACGTGGTATGACTTCTCCTTTAAAGGATCACTGCCTCTGCTGTGCTGAGAGCAGAACTGGGAGGCAAAAGGTGCGGGAGGCCCTAGGGAAGCAGCAGGAAGCAGGACAGGGTTCCAGGCTGGAGGAGGCCACGGCTTCCACTGCTGTGAGTGGTGGAAATAGTGGGAAGAGATTGGAATTCTGGAGACATTCTGAAGATGGACTTTGCAGCATTTCCTAATGGATTAATCTGGGAATGAAAGACAAGAATCAAGGAGGACACCCCACATTTTGGACTGTGGGAATAGAAAGATGGAGTTGCTGTGAGCCAAGATGGGGAAGATTATGGATGGAGCATATTTACAGGCATTGACTTTAAGAAATGTTGGAGCTGAAGTGTCTATTAGAAATGCAAGTGAGATAGCAGATTGGCAGTTGGACAGATAAGTCTGGAGATTAGGAGAAATGTCTGGCTGGAGAACTAGATGTGGGAGGTGATATCATATAAATGACATTTAAAGCCTTGAAAGAGATGAGATCACCAAGGGAGTGATGACTACTGAAGAGAAAGGAACAAGGACTGAATCCTGGACACCCCAGTGCTGAAGGATCTGATCAGACTACATACCCAGGGCAGACACACTTCTGGTTCCATGTCTAGAAGGCATGGAGACTAGAGAGTCCCAGACTTCCTATGCACAGGAATCCCCTGGACATCTCATTAAGATTCAGAAAATCTTGAAGAGAGCATGAAAGTCTGTTTTTATAACAAGTTTGGTACTGATGCGGTCTTCAGATCACTCATTTAGTAGCAAGAATGTGGACCAGAGGGGCTGGCCCAGTGTCATAGTGGTTAAGTTTGCATGGTCTGCTTCAGTAGCCCAGCATTCGTGGCTTTGGATCCTGGACCTGGACATACATAGCACTCATCAACCCATGCTGTGGTAGTTTCCCACATGTAAAATAGAGGAAGATTGGCAGATTGGCAGAGACATTAGCTCAGGGACACTCTTCCTCACCGGAAGAAAGGAATGTAGATCAGGATTCCCTCATAGCTGGGCATCAGCCTCACCCGTAGGTCTTGTTAATTAAGCGATTCCTTGGTCTTGTGCCTAATATTCTGAGATGGTGGGTCTGGGGAGAGGCCTGAGTATTTTGTAAGAAGCCCCACAGCACTGCTGGTGCTCAGCCCTCATCACTGGGGTCTTTCTAGTGACCAGCCCCCATCCTGAAGCTATCTGGGACTCCTCAGACATCTCATTAGCATATGACAGTCACTCATCACTCAGGAGATTCCAAGGGTTTTAAGAGCTCTATGCCAGGAACCAGGGACAAACACTAAATATTTTTTGATTATACTGCAGTCTACTCTCTGGTCTTTGACCACAGATCCCTTATAGCAAAAGGAGCATAACAGTTAGAAGGTGCTGGCAAATTACTGGTTCCCATTCAGTCATGAGCAATTAGTCCAGTCCGTCATCCTCTTGTGTGAGAATGTCTCCCAGGGTGAGGTCACTCAGGTTTGCAGGCTTCCATTTGATCTTGCCAGGTTCCAGAAGCAGAAATAGTCTCAGCAATATATGGCTACCCCTTTTCAGACATCTGGATAATTGAGCTAAGAGACAATGTCATCTGTTGCTCATGCCTCTTTTGAGGTGTTAATGTAATATTGCGTTTCTCTCATTACACATCCCATTTATTCATTGCTTTACCTCAGCTGCTATTTCTCTTCTCTCCGTTTATACCTAACCTTTCCACCTTTGGAAGGGACATTAGGTTTGGCTGCGGTGCTGGTCTAGACGCAGGCAGCAATACTAGTGTAGCAGCCCCTCCTCCTCAGTGCGCTCCCATTCATAGAGGAGAGGTCACATAGGTACAGAGCTAGTGGGCTAACTGACCACTAGGCAATATAGCTGCATTCACTGTCAGCCCCGATTTTGCCAGATGGGGTGAAGGCACTTTCTGCCCCTTCGGGTCCTTAGGAATTGTGACACAGCGGGTAAAAATACAGTTACAGTTTCTTGCTTAGGAAACATCCCTGTTTCTGTTCCTGTTCCTGTTTCTTGTGGGCATCCCTGACCTGAGACCACTGCATCAGGCAGGAAGGAAGAGAGTCAAGGTGGATATAGTCATACCAACTTCCTCCCCATTTCGGAAGAATTGTACAGTCATACCAGCATCCTCCTCCACCCCTCCTCCCCAGATCTTCCAGGAAAGAGAGGAAACTTTCTAGTAGGGACATTCGTGTAGCCCCACTCATGTTGAGTGTGAGCACACACTTGTGAAGATGTGTAAGCCAGCATTTTGTGCCTCTTTATCCCCCACCACCCCATTTTAGACAACCAATTTCCAATTGTGCGTTCAAATTCTCTATCACACTATTCCTCTGAGGAGGATGTCTCTCGGCCCATTGTTGGACTTTATGGGCTGTAAAGTTTTTCTTTGGCCTGAAGAATTGTGACTCAGCAGTGCAAATTGGTGCACTATCTTCTGTTCTGCTTCTTTTATAGCACTCTGAGCATTCGTATCTACCACTGGGTAAGCAAAGCCCATTCAGAGTCAACATCTATTCCTGCCGAGACCCATTTGTAGCCCCCGTGGGCCACCAGCATCAGTCTGATTTGCCAGCTACGTTCAAGGCATTCCCACCAGGCAATCTGCCACATAGCCCTCCTTAGTCTCTGGTTGGCAGACAGAACAGTTCTGTTTGGTATTTTTCTTCAGAGGATGCAAGTGGAATATGTCTAGACTCAGCCCGTCTCTGCGTTGCTGCAGCCCCTCAATGTCCACTTATTTCTTGGATCCAGGTAGCCACATCAAGGGGAATAACAGGTTATCCGCTCATTGATTCCAGTCTCTTCCCAGCCCAGAAGGGGGTTCTTGTGATGGGCATCAACATGTCCTACTTTGCAGACCCCAGAAATTCCCATAGTGATTTCCGTAGGACTGTGCTCCATATGGGCATTCCTTTAATAGACCAGGTTTCCCTTGCCCGTTGCCTAACCATATGGCCTGGCTGTTGCCTACTGTCTATGAGTTTGTAAAAATCAAACTATAAGGGCTTTATCATTGTTCAATTCTCCCATCACTGCTAGGAAGCCTGCCTGCAATTCAGCTCATTCAGCTGATCTGTTTTTGCTTTTCTTGATCAGAGAGGTGATGTTCCAAACAGGATGTTGTCCACTCACCTTGGAACTGGCATCCATAAACCAAGAAGCTCTTCGTAGGTCAGCTGAGAATTGTTTATAGGATATTGTCCAAGTGACGAAAAAATCCAGCCACTCCTCATGCAGTTCCAAAGTTAGTCTGAGGGGAAGAGTCAATGCCCAGTGGACTTTGGAAACTTTGAGATTCTCCTTCATGAAGAACAAAAGGGAAATACTGAATATTCATAAATATGATGATGATGATGATGTGTGTTTATTTTCTTAGTTGGCAAAAGGAACTCAGGTGGCTTATATTATAATGCATAATTTAAGTGGGGCATTTAAAAATAAATACAACATGTGTCAACATATTATAGCAAAAATCTAGATACCCTATTTATGTGGGATATAGTCAAGCCTTATGTCCAGTAGTGATTGGGTCCTCAGCTTTCAGCACCTCAGGCCATATGAGAAACAAGTGGGGAATGTGCTAAACCACCTGGAGAGAAAAACAAATTCTTATGATGTATTTAAGGAAGAACTTATCACGTAGAATTGTGTATAAATGTCCTTGCTTACAAAAATGAAAATTATTGATAGCTGTAATCTTGAAAAAATACAAAATTGGCTTTTAAATGTCTACTTGAAATACCTCCTAGAGGAAGATTGAGATCAAATGATGAACAATTTAAAGAAACCCTTTTCATGCCGATCTAAGTAAATGTGGCCTAGGAAAATCCCTTTCCAATAGTCTAAACAAATACACAGGAAAGGGAGTGTCCAGAGGGGAGAGAGCCTGGAGGAATGGACAGTTTCACTTAGAGCATCTCTCCCACTGACCAGGAATCCTAACCAAGAAAACTGCGGAGCTGCCAATCACTTGTGAAAACCCTATATGTTCATCTATATTCTTACTCGAATAAATTCACTATATCTGGGGGAAGAGAGCAAAACAAGGGAGCCTGAATGTAGGGCTGAGTTTTCATCAAATATCCTTGACTGGGTTAAGGCTCAACCACAGATTTAGAGCCCAGACTCCAAGTGTCAGAGGCGCATGGCCCTGTACAGTATATTTCCCAATTAATTGCTTTACCTGGAAATTAATCTGAGCACCCCCACCTCAGGATCTTTGCACTTGCAACTCCTCTTACCTGGGATGTTTCTCCCTCACTTCTTGCATGGCTTTGTCCTCAGTGATGCCTGCTCTGTTTAGACTTCCAACCCCCAGCACCTACTACCCTCCACACACGTTCCCTACCTCTAGTTTCTCCATAGCACAAATCATAACCTGACGTACCACATAATTTATTTATTTAACTTAGTATCAGTCTCCTAAAAGTATAATGAAAATTTCACGACAGCATGCATTTTTGTCATTTCTTGTTTTTCACTGCTTCTACTCAGCACTCTCACTATTTCTTGGCAAATTGTAGTTTTAATAAATATATGTTGAATGGATGAATCTGAATATATTTTTATTTTTATTAAAGTCACATTCTACAGGGTCATCAAGACAAATAGCTGTGGAGTATATCTTCAAATTTCCTAAACTAGTTAGTCTCTTTCCGTGTAAGAGATCTCTTTGGTTTGTTTTTTTGAGTTCACTTATTGCTCATTGTTGCTGTTGATGATGCTGCTATAAAACTGTTGACTGACTCCCTTGAACCTGCTTCAGTTCATCCTTCATTAGCCTTAGACACACTCCTGAGAGTCCTCTGTGTCTATGGTCTCCCAATACCATCCATTTTCTATGTCTTCGCCCCTCTGAGTTCAGACTTGATCTTCATGGTTAAGGCCAGAGACACTGAAGTCCTGAGCTCCTGTGTGATGGTGCATGGCTGCCCTCGGTGTCTCCTTATCCCCATCCTCTGTGGGAGGGGGCAGAATGGAGCACCTGGAACACAGAGAGGACCTCCCTCTTGCTAATATCTATCGTCTCACAGTAGAAACTGCCTGCACTCCACAAATGGGGGTGGGGCATAACGGATGTGGTAAGAGGCTGACAAGGTGCTTGTCATCATTTGGGAGCTAACTCAGCCCTGCCTTGTCAGAGGGCATTTGGATTGGAGCAAGATGTGCACAGAGCTATTGAATCACCTTAGAATGAAAAAGTCTAAATGGGAGCAAGAGGGAGAAACTCCATGTAGAACCAATCAGTAGTCAATACTGAGAAGAGGGCGAATAATAGCTCTAGAAAATATCTTTCAAGTTGTTGATAAGTGGATTCTTGATTGGGGAAGTAGAATAATGTAATTCTATTCATTTAAAGATTGGGAATTAGAATGCAAATCAGTTTCCCCACAGGTGATGTGTGGACAGGCCCCAAGTGCCATCTGCAGCCCAGGGCAGAGCAGCAATTGTCACAGGAGAGTAAGTAGCAACCCCGACATGCTTCCGTTGAAGATTGTTATGCCAGAGCTGGGCAGTCTTGTCTTACAGTGTAGTTTTCCTCTGTTGTTTTTATATTGCTGTTTTATTTCATTTTTATTAGATAATAGTTTCAAATTTTCAGAAGTTTAAAACTACCTAAAGCATACTGTGAAAATATTTTCAAAATGGTCTCCCCTTCTCACAGTTCCTACTGCTCTCCCCTTAGAGAACTCTTATCACTAGGTCCTTGGATGTCTTTCCAGGCACATAGGTGCATAGGTGTGTGTACACCTATGGTGTGTGTACATAAATTCTTGTTCCCCTTTTAAAGAAAATATAGCATAGTATACACAGTTCTGCAACTTGATTATTTTTTGTTAATAATTGAATTTGGCGATCTTATTTGTCAACACTTGAAGAATTTCCCCTTTTACTTTTTTTATAGCTTTATGGTATTCTACTATGTGGATGGATTTAACTGGTCCCCTATTTATTGACACTTGAGTAATTTCACCTTTTTCTATTAAAATAGTGCTGCAATGCATAATATTCTTCTCTATGATTTCTAGGCATGATGATGTATCTGTAGGATAAATAATCAGAAGTAGGATTGTAACATTGATAGATATTTTACCTCCACGGGATTTATAGGGAAGTGTTGTTGATCTTCATTATACATTTGGGAAAATTTGGAGAAGTGTCAGTTCCACATCACTGAGAATCAGACTTCTCAGTTCCCCACCTCAAACCTAGAGAAACCAGTCTCTCCTAGTTCACAGTCAGGGAGGGCGGTTCATATTGTAGGTGGAGACTTGAGATGAGCAGAACTACTGTATCACTAAAGGAATAATAGGCTCGGCTCAGGTTTTGAGCAAAAGACAGCCCAGCTGTACTTCCCTCTCCAGAAATTGATGAGGCAGCCTATAGACTGAAGGAGAGACGGTGGAGGACTGTGGAAATGGGAGGATAAAGGATATGAGGGAAGGGGTGTGTTGTCCTTATTCACACCTGTAGCAGCAGAGCCTGATGCACTGAGAGATTCAGACATATCTGTTACATCTTGCCATTGGGTGGTTTCACTGCTCCTCTTCTTCCCTGCAAAGTTCCCTTCCCATGACAGTTTTCAGCTGGGCTATCTTAAAACTGAAATGATAGGAAGGAAATTAGGTCTAATGTGGAAGAAACCACATAAAAATGTAGGTATTTTTGGGGGTGGGGAGTGGTGTTCAATGTCTTCTCTTCTCCCCATCTCCTCCCATGGGGTGTATTGGAGATCAACTTCCTCCACCCCTTCAAGGTTTAACATTCCCACTCTGCCCTCCTCCTGTTCCCGACCCCCTTCCTCCCCCTCCTACCCCTGCCAATGGAGATCTTCGTGGATGATGAGACGAAGCTGAGGCTGCATGGGTTGCAGCAGTGCTACATGAAACTGAAGGATCAGGAGAAGAACCGGAAGCTCTTTGACCTTCTGGATGTCCTTGAGTTCCACCTGGTCAGTTGTTCAAGGCCCAGTAGGGGGATGAGCATATCTCCAACTGTAGGAGAAACCTGTATTAAGTACCCTTTTATTGAGAAAACCATGTATGTGATTTGAGAGAGAATGATGGAGAATTTCTCTTAAATGTAATTCTTTTAAATGAGAATATAAATGTCTTTTTGGAGGCTGAGCATGAACAAGGTGGAAACTGCTTTTCTGTTCCAAGACTGGCACCAACAGGTACTCAATAAATAAGAACCTCAATAAATAAACCTCAAAATATAAAAACCCTTGAGGGGCTTAAATAAGTTCGTAAAAGTCCCCAAATATCCTGGAGCTGTTAGGTCCTTCAGTTTGTTTGTTTGTTTCTTCTTGTGTTACTGACTGAGGAAAAGCCTTCCGTCACTGTAAATGTTGTATGGTTTATCATCACTAAAAACGACTTTCTAGAATAGGGTAGGTTGCTTATGTTTGGTATTTTGATGAGCAGGTATGTTGGTCATGATCTTTCTAGACCTTAGCTCTAATTTTTTCCACTTCTTCAAGAGGTGTCCTCATCCTTGTCTCCTAACATATCTGGTAATTTCAGTTACTTTTCTCTGCATCTTCTCTGTAACATGTCTGCCCAGGAAAACTCAGAGCTGAGAGAGGGAAGCTAAGTTATATTTAGAGCAGAATAGGAACTATGTGAGGGAGACTAAGAGGCATTCCTTTAGAAGAGTGTAATCACTGAAAACTCTCTCGCGCATAATCTCTCTCATACACCCATGAACAATATCCCCCTTCTCAGTCACACCCACCCTCACAGACAAACACACACACAGAACCGAGTGGTGATCTGGTGAAGTCTGTGCAGCGTTGCATTGTCCTCACCCAGTGCCTGGTGGAGCAGAACTTCCCAGCCATTGCCATCCGCCGAGGGATGCCCCAGGAGGAGAGGTGAGTCGGAGATGGGGAAGATGTTTTGTGTCCTTGGGAGGAAAAGAGGCCCTGGAGAGAAGGGACTTCCATCATTTTTCTAATTTCCTTTCTCGTGAAGGCTTTCTCAGTATCACCAGTTTAAATATTTTCAACGATGAATTCCTGTGCCTACCAACCTATTCAGCCGAGGCAAGGACATGGAGCAGGTGAACATTGCCTTTAACTGTGACATGCCTGAGCATTCTGACACCCACCTGCATCGGGTAAGCCCCACACCAAGGAGAACACCCCATTGTCCTCCCCCAACCCTCTATTTTCTGTATGTTTGCAATCTTCCATCTTCCTCCCTCCTTTTGGGTGTCTTCCAGTTCTATCCTCTGTGTCCTTCCAGGTGGCCAGAGCAGGCCAGTTTGGCTCCTAGGGCTTGGCCATCACATTTGTGTCACATGAGAATGATGCCAAGATCCTCAATGGTGTGCAGGATCGCTTTGAGGTCAATGTTAGTTAGTTGCCTGATGAGATAAACATCTCCTACAGAGACTATTAAACTGGCCTCCCCAACTCTTTAGATTCCGCTTGTTCTTTAGTGTGTTTGTTATATATCCTATTACGTAGCAAAGACTCCGCTGCATAGTGGACAGTTGACAAGTTTGTGGCCCTCTGGTCTTGATGCCCTGTTGGGATGTTAGTTGACCTCTAACTGGGGAAACTTTCTTTTCTTGACGCATTTTTTCCCCCATCTTCAAGTCTATCCTCTGAACCCACACACCACATGAACAACTACATGTTGAGTGTGTGTCTCTCTGCCACCCTCACTTTTTCTTTTCTGTGTCAGATCCTAACTGTGCCCTTTTATCTCTTAAGTTGGACGGACGCCGTAAAGGACTTACCCACCCATTCTGGAATGTGACAGCTGTCTCTCTTCAGGAGATGACACCGGGGTAGGAGCAAAGGAGACACTACTGCCACCTACCACTGACAACCCCCAACCCCCACCTCACGGCTTCCCTCTTTTGCGTCACCACCAGTCCTAAACCTCCATTTCCTGATTTGTCAGAACTTTTTTTCAACAAAACTAAAAAACACATGCACCTGTGATGTCTGTAAACGCTCCGTCTCTTTATTGGATTTGGGGTGAGGTTGTTTTAGGGTAAGATCCAGGGTATATTCCTGTAAGGACTGTGTGCCCTGCCTGCTGTGGTGCAGAGGTCAGTGGGCGGGGTCAAAGTGGGGGATGTGACTAAACAGATTGCAGAGACCATGGCTCCCCACTACCTTCCAAATTCTGGCCCTTCGTGGAGGTGTGTTCCGTTTTTCTTAGTGGCTGGAAGAGGCTGGGATGTTTCCGATTGAGGAGCTCATGGGGCTGGTGCGTAATATTTCCATCGTTGGAGGGTGAAGTGGGAACTGGTGGAAAGCTTAGACGTCTCCTCTCAGGCTCTCTCTGTGTCTCCTCATCTGTTCCTTCAGCTTCTGGGTCTTGAGCACCAGGGTGTGGGCTTCCCAGGCCCCTTGTTGCCCTTCCAGTAGGGCCTGGGACAGCTCCAGCTGCTGCTCTAGCAACTCCTCAGCTTGGGCCAGCTCAGCTGAGGGCATGGGGCTGGGGATCCTGGATGAGGGGGAGCATTGGGGAGGGAGCCAGGGTAGGGGGCTGAGGCTCACTGGAAGTTGGGATTTATGCCTCTCCTATTGTTGGACCCTATTTACGGTCATCTGTACTGTGCAGCTAAGCTAGCTTCCTGTCTACGATAAAGGCCTCTGGGGGACAGAGATCTCTGACCCAGGGGCTATGACTGGCCATGTACAAGGATATAGGGTTATGGGAAAGAAAAGACTGGCTGTTCCCACCCCCTAAGAAACAGTGACCTCTTAGATGGGAACTCTTCATGGACTGTGCAGGGAGGGAAGCGTGTGGGAGAGGGAGCCCTGAGGCCTGGAGTGGGGTCGGGGTGGGGAGCTGAGAGTTGGAACTAGGCAACGAACTCCAGGAGTCAGGGGGCTGGTATCTGCAGGTCTGTGGTGCAGCATAAGTTTGAAGGAATCCCCTCACAGTACAAATACCCCCCACCTACCCCTCATGACCTCCACCCCCACCCTTGGGGCTGCTTACCTGGGGGCATGACTTCATCTTTCACTAATACCACACTGTGTTGGTTACTGTAGCTTTATAGTAAGTATTGAAGTCCGGCTGTGTGAGTCCTCTGACTCTGCTGCCTCATGGTGTGCTGGCTACTCTGGCTCTTTTGTCTCTCCAGATAAACGTTAGAGTGATTCATCAATATCCTTGCTGGAATATTGACAATATCAGCTGTCAATATCTAAAATAACTTGCTGGGATTTTAATTTGTATTCTGTTGAATCTAGAGATCAAGTTGGGAAGAACTGACATCTTTTCAAGATTGAATTTTCCTATCCATGAACGTGGAATATTTTTCCATTTATTTAGTTCGTTGATTTCTTTCATCAGAGTTTTGTAATTTTCCTCATATAGATCTTGTACATATTTTGATAGATTTATACTTAAGTATTTAATTTTTTGTGTGCTAATGTAAATAGTATTGTGTTTTTAGTTTCAGCTTCTAGTTGTTCTTTGCTGATCTATAGGAAAGTGATCGACTTTTGCATATTAACCTTGTGTCCTGCACTTTGCTGTAATTGCTTGTTAGTTGTTATTCCAGGAGTTAGTTGTTGTTGTTGTTGATTCTTTGGATTTTCTACACAGACAATCGTGTCGTCTGCCAACAAAGAAAGTTTTATTTCCTCCTTCCTCCTCTGTATACCTTTTATTTCCTTTTATCTTTTTGGTCTTGTATTAGCTAGGACTTCCAGTTTGATGTTGAAAAGGAGTGGTGAGAGGGGACATCCTTGGTTTGTTCCTGACCTTAGCAGGAAAGCTTCTAGTTTCTCACTATAAAGTATGATGTTAGCTGTGGGTTTTTTGTAGATTATTTTTATCAGATCGAGAAAGTTCCCTCTCTGTTTCTAGTTTGCTACGAGTTTTTATCATGAATGAGTGTTTGATTTTGTCAAATGCTTTTTCGGCACCTGCTGATATGGTCCTGTGAATTTTCCTTTCGAGCTTGTTGATGTGATACATTACATTCATTGATTTTCTAATGTTGAACTAGCCTTGTATACTTGCGAGAAACCCCACTCGGTTATGGCATATAGTTGATTTCATTTATTGTCTGTCTGTCAGACTGTCAGCATCAGGAGAGCAGGTGTTTTGTCTGTTCTGATTAAATGATCCCCAGGCCTGGAACAATGCCTGGTACAGAGGTGCTCATGGAATATTTGTGAGTGAATGAGTAAATGCTGGGACCACGTTCCTTAGAGCTGAGTCTGAGACTGAAAGGCAGAGTTTAGGGTGTTGGTTTGGAGGTTGTCTTCCTCTGCTCCGGCTGCTGTAACAAAATGCCACGGACTGGGGAGCTAAAACAGCCGAAGTTTATTTTCTCCAACTTCTGGAGGCTAGAAATCTGAGATCAAAGTGCCAGGAAATTTGGCTTCTGATGCGGGCTCTCCTCTTGGCTTGTGGATGGCTGTCTTCTTGCTGTGTCCTCACATGGCCTTTCCTCTGTGTGCAGAGAGAGATCCCTGGTGTCTTTTTCTCATAACCACCAGTCCTGTCAGGCAGGGCCCCACCCTTATGATCTCATTTAACCTTAATTCTCTCCCTAAAGGCTCTGTCTCTAAATACAATCACATTTGGGGTTAGGGCTTCAATGTAGAAATTTTGGGGCACACAGCTCAGTCCATAACAGGGGTCTCCTGTGATGTGTGTGTGTTTGGATCCTACCAATTGGTCTTGGTTTCTGGAACCCCTTCACAAGTACAGTGCTCAACACTGCCCCAAACTCATATCTCGCCACATAAGCACAGCAGATGGAAGGTGTCTGACCACCAACTGCTCCAGATGTCTCTTGGGCCAGGAGAGGGGTCTGCCTAGGTTTGGGGTCATGGGCAACTGCTGCCCGGATGGCAGTTGTGGCTTAGCTGCAGCATGTGGGGCTCTGGGACAACCCCCCTGGCTTGTGGACTCCATGTCTGTCAGGCTGCTATAACAGAATATCATAAATTGGGTAGCTTATAAACAACAGAAGATTATTTCTCACTGTTCTGGAGGCTGAGAAGACCAAGATCAAGGTGCTAGCAGCCTGGGTGTCTGGTGAGAACCCTCTTCTTGGTACATAGATGGCCGTCTTCTCACTGTGTCCTTGCATGGTGAAAGGGACTGTGGGTTCTCTTTTATAAGGGTGCTAATCCTACTCATGAGGGCTCCATTCATGACCTAATCACCTCCCAAAGGCCCCACCTCCAAACACCATGACATTAGGGATTAAGTTTCAACATGTAAATTTTTGAGGCAACACATTCAGTCTATAGCACCCCCAAATTCCTGGGTAAGTAGTCAGGGTAGAAATAAGATTTAGGGCTGGGGCTGCAGAGCTCCTAAGTTCAGGATTTGGGGCAGCAGAGAGCAGGGCCAGAGGAGTCCAGTCTGAGGATCCGGGTGCTTGTGTCACCAGAGAGGAAAGGGATGGGATCTTCAGAGTCCTTGGCCAGGGAGCTGCAGAAGGTGTAGGGACCACTACTGGAGATGGGTAGTTGGTTGCCTGGGTCCTTTTGTTGAGATTCTTGTAGCCCCACCACATGTTCATCAGCTGGTGCTCAGGGGCCCCTTGGCCTGGTTCTCAAAGAGGAGGAAGGGACCACTGAAGGCTGGAACCACTGGCTGCTCTGGGCTGGGTTCAGACATGGCTGTGATGTCCTAGCACAGGGAGTGAGAGCCTGGAAATTCTGGGAATTTGGGATCAGGGCTGGTCCCTAGAGGGGCAGCACAGGCACTTGTTCTTTGCTCTCTATGGTCCAGTACCCAGAAAACTCTCTCCAAACACAAGCCCACAGGTGTCCCCTAGGCCAATCCTTCCCACGCCCCTCCCGTCCCTGGCTCCTTCGTGTCTCCTCCTTGTAACCTCTACCACTCTGATGTCCTTATTTCTGCCCTGTCCTCACTTCCCCTGGAACATCCTCTCCTTCTTAGACCTAACGCCCTGGGGGCTTCTCTCCCCCACCCCCATCCCATATTGTGAGACTCACTGGATTGATCCAGCCCCAGAGGCAGCAGCAGGAACAAGTCATAAGGACTCAGGGGTCCTGGGTCCCATCCTGGGAGACTGAGGGCACCCAGTTTGTTTTGGGGGTCCATTCGGGACCTGGGGACCAGCTGTTATGGCCTGGAGACCTCCCTGTGCCCTGAGGCAGAGTCTACAGTGACTCAATGGGGAGGACCATCTATTTCAGTGTGGATTTTGGGAAACACTTCACACCCTGAACCTGACACTGGAAAGGGGAACCCCCTTGTGTGCAGAGCTCTGTCCTGCTCCTGGGGGCCCATGGAGACCCTGCAGAGGTCCTGGCTGAGCAGGAGAAAAGGCAGCTGGGTCTTCTGTCCTCAGCATTGTGGCCACACACGGGGACGCCACTGTTATGCTCTCAGATTGTGACTGACCTGCCTGGGAGGGTCTGGGCTTTAAGTTGGTCAGAAATGGATGACCGTGAGGCTGGGCTTCAATGGTGGGAAGAAGCTTCTGAGCATCCCTGGACTCCACAGGTGTCAGGGTCAGGGATGGACAGGGACTGATGGAGAAGAGAGCTCAGGAGCCTTGTGCACTCTCTCAGGTTTCCATCTCCTCCCTGGGACCCCTCTCCCAGCTCTTGACGACAACACCTGGGAAACTGAAAAGTGGAAACGTTTTCTTCCATTTTCTATTTCTTTTTAGTACTCTTCCTTAATGTAGCAACAATAACAATATTTGTATAAATTTTTCTCAGGAGGATACACGGGAAATTGGTAACATGCTCATCTCTGGCAGGGGACCTGTGGGGGGCCTAGGAAGGAAAATTTACCACCTTAAACCCTTTGGAATGTCTTGAGTGGTCTTTTCAAAATATGTTACACTAAGAATCTCTTTCATTTGCAGGACACTTTCCAGTTAATGCCCAGTTTATACAGATGCGGCCCTGTGATGGGCCTGTTACCACCTGCAAACACAGGTTCTTTACACACTCCACAAACGGGGCCAAATAAAAACTGAAACGCCAGGCTTTTGGCAAGGAAAGGGCTTTCATTTCAGGTGACATCAGCCGGGAGATGCGAGTGAGCCTTCAAATTTGTCTCGTTTTGTCTCATCTTCCGAAAGAGGGAGGTGAGGGGTCTTAAAGGTTGTGAGGAATGTGGCTGCTTGTAGAGAGGCAGGGGGATTCCGTGGCCTTGCTGGTGGGAGCTTTCCCACCAGCCTGCATTAGGCCTTGGGAGCTGCTTGCAGGGAGGAGGAGGAGATGATAAGGAATCCAGGGGGGTGATGGACCTTGGCTCTTTGTCTCCATGGCAG